TCCCACACTGATTACTCACATACATAATACACCTACCACCCGGTCTTGCCATTCCCTCATGACGTGCCACCCCCCCATCTGTCACTAAGCCGGCCAGGGCCTGATTGCCTCACTGTTACCTTCAGAGGGGTGGCCAGTGGAGTGAGAAGGGGCTGAAGAGGTGCCCAGTGAGTTGGAGATAAAGAGATTGGAACTGGAGGCTTTATGCCACAGAGGGGCAACTGCCCTAAATCATTTCCAGTATCAGAATACAAGAGCCACAGTCCAGCATAGTCGGTCACATGGATGACATGGATGACATCTCAGGCTATATAGGCACCTCCGGTAGCGTCTGTAAATATGGACTTCGCTACCACACAATTAGTTTTAACATCTATTGGGAAGCTGGACCCCATTTCCAGCAGGTATAGACAACCAATTTAGGCTACTGGGTAGTTGTGTAGGTCAAAATGCCAAACTTCCTTCTTCGAGGGTGGGCCATGCAGCTAGCAGTCGCTACAATAGGATGTCTCTACATACATACAAACCAACAAGCAAGCACGATGTTCGGGGACGCTGGACCCGGTTTCCAGCAGGTGTTGCTCCCCACCAATATAGATGGAGCCTCCGTGAGAGCGTCAGTGGTGTCTGCTCTTATCAGCACCCCTAGCACCACCTCGGGCTGTTTTCAAAAAAAAAAAAAAAAAAAAAAAAAAAAAAAAGCAGGGTACCACCAGGCAACCCTGTCGAACCGAGCAGTGCAATGACTGCAGTCTGTGCAGATGCACAGGACCAGACATGTGGCCATTGACATAGAGCACCCATGTTGACTTTGCTGACGCAAAGATTTAACCACATGTTTCAATCTCAGTGCAAGGTTCTGCAAACCCAAAAGCAGACAGCCTGAGGGTGGCCTGCAGAAATTCCCACCCCACTCTGTCATAAGCGGGTGTTGCTCCCCACCAATAGACTGGATCCAACAGGTGTTGCTAGGGGTGTCTGGTCTTAATCATCAAGGAGGATGATAGCTAGTTGCTCTTCGGCTTTGTTGACCCAAAAGCAGACAGGGTGGGCAGCAATCAACAATTGGGCTCAATAAAAAAATAAAAATAAAAATAAAAAGAGAGACTGCAAATTTTGGTCAAACAGTCTCTGAACCTTTCATTTCAGTTGAACTCACCTCTCTTGAATGTCACTTGCTTTTTTTTTTCTTTTTTTTTTCCCCCCCTCATTCTCATCATCCACTCGCTTCAATTACTATCTTTTCCTGATGTTTGAATCTTTTCACGAAACTGGAGATTTATTACCTTCAGCTTGGGTGAAAAGAACTTCAAAAAAAAATTGGAAAAAATAAAACACATTAGTTCTTCTCTTTTTTTCCCAGCACTCCACATAAGACACACGGTCTTTTTTTATTTTCATAACAACGCATATTCGCACGCGATGCCGCGAGCAGAGTTACCGCAGTCATACCAATGGGCCTAGCTCAGTTGGCATGACGGTGAACTGTTGAAATGCAGACCCAAGTTCAAGTCCAGATGCAATCAGATGAACATAACAAAATAATTTAGAGGTAGCGCAGTCATGAGATGAGATGAGAGTTGGGAGCTCTGCAACTTGTGCACCACGAGAAAAGACTCACGAGGAGAAAGATGAAGGGAGGCATTTTCCAACTCATCTGTGACTTACAATGCCATTGACAGTGTTGTTCCTGGTGATGACCTTGCTAAGGAGTCCCTTGAACCAGGATTTTGCTCTGGGGTTGGTGTAGAAAACGTCTTCCGAGGTTCCTCTCTCATTTGCAGGTAACCAGCTTTGGTACTGAAGTTTAATACTCCAGTTATTGCCAAACATAACCAGCAGACGAATCTGCCGCTTGGAACACTCGTTCATCAGCCAGTCGAAGTCCTGAATTGATTGAAACAACATAATTGATTGATGTAAAAGTACGGCGCCACATACTAATCCCCCAACTCACATATGTGCGCACACACACAGGACACGCTCGCACACACACACACACACACACAC